TTGCACCTTTCGCTGAGACTGATCAATTCCCTTCCAGGAGATCGATGCTGCCCCCAACCATGGATGGACAAGTCGACATCGACGACATTGTGGATCACAGGGATATGCCTGTTCCGAAGCCGCTGGGTCGAGGAAGACCTCCTAAACCCAAGAGGGAGTACCGGATCAGATTCAGGCATCATACGGATCCTAAAGAAGATTGGTGGTTTACCCTGGAGGAACTGATGGAAACAGCTCCTCGGGTGGTGGCAGATTATGAACCGAAGCTAAAAGGGAAGGCACCTGCGAAGTAAGCATCTCAGCGGACTTTCGAAGCTCAGGGGGATGGAATGTGAGGATTGAGCCCTCAAGGAGGGGCCTTGCCATGATGTACATGTTCTGGGCTAAGGCCCCAGCAAGCCTAGTGCCCGCCCTAAGTGAAGGCGGGCCAGCAGATCAACAAGAGCCCTCTCGGCCAACATTTCACGAAGTGGGGTCTATACAGTTGCAGCACACCAGTTGGTTGGAGTGCACCGAGTCTCGGATTTCAGCAAATGCTGAAATGCCCAAGGCCTCTGAGTTAGTTAGGCCCTGGGCACTCGAACATGGGGCCGACAATGCATGCTGGGTAGAGAGGCCGAAATGCCGAAGGGAAAATCGACCCACTATCTGAATCTGGCCGCAGGCCTTGAGAAGAGAGGCGCAACTGCATTGCTCCGGGGCCCAACTGTATCGGGTAGGCTTCAGCCTCTGGGTCCCGGTCGCAGGCTGAAGGGAGGCCGCATATAGGCAAGCAGGGCGAGGCAGCAGGGATCTTGGCCAATGCTGGCATATGCGGGCACGCTGCGCCGATGCATGTGTGCTGCGCTGTGCAAGGCAGTGCAGCGCTAAGAGCAAGCAGGCCAGCGCTAGGTGTTAGGGCGCTGCCTGCACTGAGGGCACTGGCGACCATAGCCTGGGCCGCAAGAGGGTGCAGGGGAGGTGAGGGCGAAGGTGGTACTTCGGAGGTGAAGGCCGCTGTGTGGGTAACAAGGGAGAGTGTGGGGAAGATGACACGTACCTGGTGATGGTGGAGGTCTGCATTGGTGTTGACATCATCACTCGCTGGTAGTCAAGTTGTCTGGTTGCTGTTCATTGCTGTAGTTGTAGGATAGTCTGTAGAGTAGATAGGGCGCCTGGCGCCATTCACAAGAGAGCTACATTTGGGTTATGCTGTTGGTGTTGCCCTGTTGGGCATGGACATTGACTCACGATTCTTCTGTATCATTCTCAATGGGATGGTTACTCGGTTCCATGTGCTATCTGCTTTGGCTTTGAATACTTGGACTTCAGTGTGATTTTGCATTCTGGATTCGTGTGCTTCGTCCATACTCATGTTCCTTGCATTTTTCTTCTTTGTTTAATTATTAAATATTGTCTGCATTTTGACAATTTCGCAATTCTTTCGAAACTGTCCCTCTACACTTTCACTGAGTAGGTCTGCAAATTCCGTTCTTTTTTTCTTTTCAAAAAAAAAAAAAAAACAATAAACGGCATTTTTCTCTTTTTGCAACCTTCTCCTACTCTGAGTTTGTAAAGATTCTTCTTTTTCTGATTATCTGCAGCCCGAGCACCGAAGGTTCACATTTGCCTTCTGCATCACCTTCGGTACTCCGTGGGATTGGACAGTCTCCTTTCAAATTTTTGATTTATTTTAATATTTTTTTAAAATAAAAAATAAGTATTTTTTTGTTGGTTAGGAGACTTCCATTTTTGGATCTGTCCGATCTTCCCCACTTGTGTGCTGCCTGCCTACCTGTTCCTCCCC